GATCGAAAGAGGGTGGTCACTTGAACAAAACCCGATAACCTAACCTAACCTACCCTATTGATAAAGATATTTAAATAATGTTTTATATAACTTTCTCAATATTTTTATGTATTTTTCCATTAGTTTTACCTTTGAATATTGTTTAAGAATGACTATATAAATATTTACACGCCTAGAAATGTATAAAAATTGGTATAATTATTAACTTTGAACCCCTATAACTTTTAATGGAGGTGAGACCGCCACGGACTTTTTATGGTACAGTGGTGGGGGAGACCTCCTCTTTCGACCCCCCCCCATCCCCAACCCTTCGGGGGTGGGGGCCATCCTCTAGACCTTTACCAAATTAAGAAATACCGTAATTGCATCGTCCGTGATTAGATCCCGCGTCGTCGTCTGTATGTGAGCCCAGCATTTTACATACTACAGCGAGTACAGAGCGTCCCTAACTCCTTTATGAATTAATATATTTTAGTCCGTGTTATTTCTTTATATATAATGATTCTGGTAGCTTCTGGTCTCTTTTTTAGTTTCGCCATCACTAAAATGATTGGTGCCTTGTTTACGACGTGTTTGTTGTATCCTTCTTGTTGTACGCACACGAGAGCGACATGAATGAAGTTATAAATGTCCACTAAACGTTATATTGCGGTGCCATTAAAGAGATAATAAATTACAGAATTAACAAACAGGCTAGTGATTAATCTATCGATTGTTCGATCGTTTGTCAGGACGATTAACAAGAGCACGAAGTAATGAATACTTACCTATCCTGGGGACAAGCAAACTTAATTCGATATCAGCAGTTAACCGTCGCGACAGATAATTAATTGCGTTTGATCATATTGAACATAAATCAGCTGTACGATTGATTCTCAACCAGACAACACAACAAGAACATGGCCGCATCAATTGTTGGGAACTGATTAAGCCATCTCCTTTTTTCTCATTTAATACAGTTCGTTGTCCTATGTCCTCGAAATATAATTCACAATATTAACTTGATCCATCTTGTTTTTTCTTATCCCAGACTATATAAGGATGTGTATTTATGTAATTTGTGTGTGGATCTGGTATGTCGTATCGTAGCTAATTCATTTAATTTGGACTAGGTTTATGTACAGTTTGATGTTATACATTTAGAGGAGTGTTCTTCCGTTGTTACTTGGAAGTTATACTTCGTTTAATTTCTGTAGCGATGTGACCTTCAGTTTGATCGGCGCAAAGTAGAAAAGAACAGCACTAGGCCAGTAAAGAAAGGAGACAACTCTTGGCCAAACTCGTAACCGGTGAGGAACGTATAATCCGTACAGTGCACGGAAAAATTGACCATTTTATCCACTACAATTGCATTGCTCAATTGTGCTGTTATCGGTACCATTTACTACTGAAAATATCAACGAGATGTTTATTTATATTTGAAGACATATTAAAGGCTTTAACGCTTGTTTTCGACTCGCACTACTATTCATGATTGAACAAAACTTTTGGCAGGTACTGTATGAAAAAGTATGTTTAATGAACAAGAGTCGAGAGTATAATGAGCTTTTTTCTCCCTACCTACGATTTTTCCAGCGCGCATCCAAGACATTGGAAGGGGCATATCGCTAGAGAAAGTAAACGAAGTATAATATACTTTTAAGGCTGGTTATCCACGGAGCCGATAAAATTGTAGTCGAACGGTTGAAAGCACGATTGAAGCTGACCGATCATGAGCGGAACGCTCAGCTTTAGTTCGTTGTCAGTTTTTTAAAATTTAAATTTAATATAAGCGATTTTATATTGTTCTGTTTATTAATACTAAAAACACTACTTATTTTATTCTGGATTCTTAATTTTCCTGTCGATTTGTTTAATTATTTATCGTATTATAGCGTATTCTCATGTGTAATTAATATCTAAAAGAAAATGTTGCTCCAAGTATATAAAAGAGTAAAATATGCGAATACAGTAATTAGTCTAACGATAACGTAATTAGTCTTCTTGTGTAATTAAACCGTTAAAGTCGATCTAATATTAATTGAGCTCGCAAGACTATAAAGCCTGCATCTCATATCTCATCAGAATTTTCCATTAAACCAGCCGTTTATGTATTACGAAATTATTAGCATCCAAAATTCATCCTCCAGTTTTATTAGATGGATATTATTATATGCTCCTCCAATATTATAAACACACGGCTGCCTTTTATTCCAGCAATGAAAGATTTTATGAGCGCGAACATTTATTAACAGGTAATAAAATCCGTACCTAAAAAGAATGCGAGACCGTAATAATTTCGGAAAAAATTGTGGTGCAAAACGAAAAAAATAAATAATCGGGCAGTGCCTAATACATAAAAATATTGTTGTCCTCCGCTGACTCCTGTATTCTTTAGTTAGTACAAGAAAAGATTCATTTTAAACTAAATTAGTGGATAGACATTGATTGTCAATAAGCACTGCTAAAATCATAGCCGTGTGCTTCGATGGGCTTTGAATTCACTGGAACATCAAACTTTTAGAAAACAAAAACTGTACTCTCTACAGATTCATTGTAACCTACAAACATTTATTGTCAATTAACTTGTGAAAAACACTTGTTTTTTATTATAACAATTATTATCAAATAAGATAATATAAATACCAAACACAAAGCATCTCTTATAAACTGAACAATTATGAATTATGTGAACACTGGACAAATCAATTTAAATTCTATTGAGAGGGAGAGTACACCGTTTAAAGATTTAGTTTATTAGGTATAGAAACGTATCCAACCCCACAGAGGAAGATACTAGTTGGATCGCCATATTATCCCAGAAACTCGAATTATTGAAGTTAACTGTAGAATTATCTAAACATCGTTGCTATTAATATTCTGTTCTTTAATGAATTACTTAGAAATGTTTTAAGTACTAATGTCTGTCATCAGTGAAATAGGAATGGTAAATATGTAATAAGGCAAATTATCGTGTGTCGATGAAAATTGATTTTATACAATATGGAGTATAAACCTACTTTTGATATAACTTTGACTACTGCTTTATTTTGCTTTTATTTATGAGCGAATAAGTAGTAGATTTTGATTAAATTGTTGCTTTGGTATTTTGTTGTGTGAAGGAAATGAGGGGTAATATACCTATATGCGTGTATCTATATCATTATTCAATTCAATCAAATCGAAACTTTATCGTCTGAACTATTATGATCATATGGCACTCAATCATCAATCATATTATCTAGAACCAATGCATTTAGGTACATTACATTGTACCTACTGTATAAATATTACATTTATAGGCGTTAGATATTGCTAAAATCATTGAAATTTATGGAAAATGTATAGGGGTCCTGCATTTAGATTGTTTTCACAGAACTTTCTTTATCTGTGATCAACACCCTTTTTAACTTGTTAATTAAATTAAAATTACTACGTAACACATTAAGTATATCTACATTGCTTCCTGTAATTTATAAAAAGCTTTAGTTAGTTCTAGAAACATCAAAACTTTTATGGATCCTGAACTGTATTTAAAAGTTCACTCTATCAAGTAACTGTATTCCACTAGAAAACGTGTGATAATTAATTGAAGGCAACACTTCTAGATTTAGGTTTCTTATAAATATTTAAGTTGAGATGTCCCATTTTAAGTCTTGTTGTTATTACCTCTTGTTGTTCGCATAAACCGACCATTGGAAGGAGATATTTCTGAAGACGCAGGGAAGTAAGCTGATGCCTTTGTCTACAATTAATATTAATTGTTAATTTGAGTGTTTATGGGACACATAAATCAAACCTCGCGAAGTAAAGCAAGGGATTTTAAGACCTGTTATATTAATTAAAAAGCAAAGGGATGCTGTTAAACATTAATGACACAATAATAAATAGTAAGGTAAATCTTTGCGCTATCTGTAATTTGTTAAACTCGATGATGCTTAACTCTCCTGTGAGCGAAACATGCGTCCATTTTTAGAAAATTTGGTGCTATTTAGGGGCGAGTCTGCTTCATTCAGTTTACTTAATGCAGTAAATAAATATCTTAAATAAAGGTAAAACAAAAATCCTGGTATGCAAGGGAAGAAAATGTAGGGAAAGAGCGAATATAAAGATAGGAGACGAAAAATTAGAAGAAGTGGCTGATTTTAGGTATCTAGGAAGTCAGATAAGTCAGGACGGAAGGAGTAGTAGGGATATAAAGCAGGGTCGAGTAGCCTTTAATAAAAATAGGTCACTTCTATGCTAGCGAACGGTTCATTTAGAAATTCGGAAAATCGACGGTGGGCGCTGCGGAAAATAAAAGATTAGAAGCGTTTGAAATGTGGTGCTGCAGGTGAATGATGTGGATATCGTGGATAGAGAAAGTTAGGAATGAATACATATTAGAAAGAATAGAACAGAGAACTCTATGGAAGTCAATAAGAAATAGGCTGGATAG